GAAACCAAGGAGAGAGCCCACGTGGGTGGTAGGGGGTCTTTTTCTGGCATGCACGCAACATTATTTCTATTATTAAAAGCTATACATATACACAGATTCATTAAAAAGAACAATTTAAGACAAGCCAGGTTTTAATTGTCCGATATTTTTGGTCAACATTTTCCCTCTAAAGGTTATACTGARAATCAATACACCTGAACAGCTTCAGTCATTCAGAGCTTTGTTCAGTCAATATTGCAAAAAAAACAAACTTGCTCTCATTGTTTACTGGTGGAAGCACATTTGTGTACTTCTCATGGGAACCAACAAGGTGGCTGCTTTAAATAAAATGACAGGAAGCTGCTTATTTCAGCTCTGACAGTGACATTTCACCAGCAGTTTGTTTTAAGAGGATCATTTCAGACGCCGGGACAGCAAATACTCCACCAGAAATACTCAAGTTTTGTTTGAACGGAACTCTTTTTCAGGAGTTTGTGAGATGAAAAACAAAATTCAGGCCCTGAGAGACGATTCATAAAAGACGATCACCTTTATATCAACTGTAAAGTTTATTTTTATCCCCGCTGAGTCACACATTGGCAGAAAAATCRTCCTGCTCTCGTGAAAACACTTTAATGAGCATGTGGCACAGTTTTATACAGGGATAATATTAACTTATGATTTCAAACTATTTTAATTGGTGCCAAGAAGTTACCACCTGAAAAATCAACTTTCTTCTCTAAAAACCAACATTTAAGATCAATATGTTGATGTATGATAGAATAAAATATTGCAACAGATGTAATAAATAGAAAATGTTGATAATTTCACGGAACCGCACAGCGGAGAATTTAGGCTTTAGCTGCTCGACGTTTCACGTCCAAACAATGTTTGTGTCATCAGATAACACTCTTTGGTCAGCTGCAACAAACAGCAGCACTTTCATGTTTCACCACCGAGCCTCATAACTGCTGAAAAAAGAAGAAAAGAACGATGTGGAGTGAAAGGAGAAAACGAGTGCAACAGCTCGAGAGGGAATTCTGGATAAAAGAGGAAAAGCCACAAGTTTGGCAGCATTAATTAGCATTTTTCCTCATTTCAAATAGGTAAAAGAAACTAATCAATTCTTGATCAACTGATCTGAAACATTTATATTGTGACAAATGYTTCAGCCATATTGCTCAGCCACAATTTAAAGACGACATGTCCTGCATTTAAATCCTTCASTTTGGAGTCTATATAAAGTGAAACTGCAACGCTTTGCTCTGAATTCCTCCTTATTGTAACTCCACAAGCACCGCCCCCTTTTCTGAAGTGTGTCTCAGATCAACCTGTTTTGAGGCTGTCTCTTTAAATCCAAACGAGGCGCTTCACCAGCTTC